TGGGGTGTCATTTTCTCATTATAATTTCCATGACTCTACTGCTATTTAGATTGCTACATTACCTCAACATAGAGATTGTATTTCCTATTTATCCATTCTTTGGTGGTTTTAATATTAGAGGAATAATATGTTCTTTGATAAAGTGAAATGAAGTATCAATCATGTTTTAAATTTTATTAATCAATTTAAGAATGATTGTTATTTGTTAATTTCAAACAATTTAGTTTTCAAACTCACATCTTTTCAGGAGATGCCATGAGATCCACAATTTTCCAAATATTACAAAATTAATGTGGATGGTAGTTGTAGGATATACCATATGAGTTATAGTAATGTTATATGATACTACTGTAGTAAATGACTAACATGATTTACTTATTTTTTACGATAATAAGTTTGTTCTCTATACTAAATTAAAAATAATCTTTTAAAGTCTTATTAAAAGTTATTATAAGGTGATTTTAAAATCTAATTACTTAATAGTTATGAATTTTCTTATGAAGAAATTAAAATTAGTTTCTTTTGAAATATGTTTTATTCTACATAATATTTATTATTTTATACAAATTTTCTCTCGTATACTTATATTTTATGTTGTTTGTAAAGTTAATTTAATAGTTGACAATTAACACCTGTATAAAGATTTATTTCTATGATCTTTTATATGTAATTTTTAACTTTCATTTTCTAGACAATTTACGTACTTTAAAATTTGTCTTTTTGTAATTTTTTTCTTTTTTTAAAAAAGTAAATAATAATATATAGTTTTTAGACAAGTTATCCAATTTTTTAAGCATTTAAGCGTGTCATTATTGCCGGTACTCCTTATTGTTTTCTTCTTTTACTTGTGAAGAAAGCTAAAATTAGATGAAAAAAATGGGACTTGTAGGAAAATTGATGAGCAACAAAAAAAAGAAGGGGGTAAAGATGGTTATTTATGGGGTTAAAAATAAAAATGGCAAGACATTGAAAATAAATATACCCGAAATTTTTATTTATTTATGTTAGAATTGGGTGCGCACAATCAAATAAAAAAATGATAGAAAAGATCATTGCTAGAGAAAAAATAAAAATAAATATATATATATATATATATATATATATATATATATATATATTCTACTTAGCTTTCGTCACTGGTGCCCTCTTCTATTGAAGCGAAGTGGGGAATTTTTCATTGTTTCTAGCCGTTGCCTCCTCTTTCACTCATTGTCATTGTTTCATGAATATTTCCGCCGAAAAAGGGTAACGATTGTGAATATTAAAATGATACCAAACAGTTGGATATATAAAATTAATTAAATTATTATTAAAAATATGATAATAATAAATAGTTTAAAATACATAACAATTAAAGGTATAATAATACATGCATTAATTGAAATAGGCGAAAATCTAAAAATTATAGACAATTTTTCAGAAACATAAATTTAGGGTCCAACGACCTGCACCATCTGTTTAGCACGAGTAGTAATTTCGGGAATTTCACTGTAATAATTCATTTCTTCACATGTTAGACTTGTTATCATTTATTATTTATAATTATTTTTCATAAAATTGAATTAAACTATAGTAAAATTTATCCTAAAATAAAAAAGGTGAAGAAAAGTATTAAAGATTTTTTTTTTCGAAAGAGCTTGACAAATTATTAAAATTTTCACAAAATGAGAATTTATGTAATAAAAAAAGAAAAGAAGAACCTTTAATATTTTATTTGGTTTGGTGATTCTTCGATAATCGATATGAAGTTGGTAGGCTTGGTTGGTGAAAAATATTCCAAGAGCTCAAATCACTTCAATAAATCGCCTTCAAGAAAGAAAAGAAAAATTGGAAGCATGCACAACCAAAAAATAACATCAAATTTTTTACTTACAATTTTCTTGAGAAAAATACCAAGTACCTCTCCCAGAAAACAAGAACTTGGCTCCACGGCACATCTCAAACACGTTAAAAAACTTTATTAACATAGAAAGGACGAGAAAGAGTGTCAAAAAACTTTTCATGAGAACTTGACACTCACTAAACTTCTTACTGAATAAACTCATAAATATATATTATATATTATAAATCGATATGTCTGTAGTTTCCCACAATATCTAATTTTTCGGACATTAATCGTATCAGAATATCTGTATTCGTGTTGTCGTGTGCGGTGTCCGTACTTCAACATTGAGTTTTACAACTACTGAACGTATTGGTCAAACTACATATGTAAATCACCAATATAGTGCTATGTTTACATATATGTTCGAAGGTATATGTAGTTAACTATATGTTTGGATTCACACCCAATATCCCTGCAACTCACGTTCAACGAGTTGATTGTGTAATTGTTGAACGAAATAAACGTATGTAAGAAACGAACGCCAAGCAAACATGAATTTAGTAATGATCAGCATTTGTAATTTCCATGATTATCTCCGTGACTGTCGTAAGATTTCAATTAATATTTAAGCATGAAATAACACTATGTTTGAAATTCTTTTGGTTAATCCTTTTCTTATGTATGTTTTTACTCCTGATTTGTTTTTCATGCTACTTTAAGAAAAATAGCTTATCATCCAATACCAGTGACATAGGACAATAATTTCACCTTCAACTACAATCATTTTTGGCTTGAAGAATTCTGGGCTTTTATTTTTGCCCATTTTTCTGACATTTGTTTGTCCTGATGAATGTTTATCATTTTCATGTGTCACAGCCGCGGCATATATGTTCTAAAGTGTATTCACTTAGTTTTAAAAGGTTACCTAAGCTACTCCCTACCTAAGAAGGTTTGGTCATTGCATATATAGACTTGAGGGGTTTGTGCTCAACATTTTAAGTAGTGATGGTTTTAGGGTTCTTGTAGAAAAGGGTATGTGTGTGTCAAGAATTTCAGTATTTTCACCGTGTGTACAAAACTCTGCTGGGAAACGAATAGTAAAGCCAGAAGTTTAAGTGTTGCTGGTAAGCTTCAAAATTCAAATAAACTTTGTTTATGACAATACCTACGATTGCTTGGTTAATTTAATCATAACTCGAATATTTTTTATTTTAGAATAAAGTGTGGCCAGTCCCAAGTACTAACACAATGGCATCCGTGTTGTAGATTTCTCATTCTAGGGGAAAATAATGATTAGAGACACAAAACATCTTGGTTAATACAATATAATAATCTTATTTCTGGCTTGTCTTTGCAATCTATAAAAATTGATGGGGTGAGCAATGCTGGCAAATCACTTGAAGAAGATCTACAGATCAGAAAATACAAATCAAAATCTCCAAGGAACTTTTGTTGGGAATATGATCGTAAATTGGGATGATCCAAGTTTTGGTAATAGGCAGCTGGATACTATATATGTTAAACAAAAATGCCCTTTCTTTGTCTTTAGGATTTAAATCATTATGTTTTCTTTTGCAATTTTCGTCTGAGGGGGAAAAATATATCTGGCTATTATGACTTGGGGCGATATGTTAATCATTTATGTATTTTTCCTGTTATTATTTGATTAGGCAACCGTAGGAATTATTCATTTTGAATTTCAAAATCTGAATTATTTGACATACACCAAATTAATCAGCATATTTAGAATTTTACAATGCTGTGTTTCGGCATGCTTTTTGTCTGAGGAAATCTGTAGGAAGCTATAGACAGGCATCATAAGGCCAATCTATATACTTTTTAAGTAATGTGCAATTGTTTATTCACAATCTTTCGTTTGCAAGCATGAACAGATAGCATTTACTGTAATTTAACTGGCATGGAATCTATGAAAGAATACTCTTATATAATACCCTATCCTGGCAAATTAACAACATTATTTTTGTAAGAATCTTGCATACCATATATGTAGCCTCCAATTTTGGAAGAAAATCCAATTACAGCATTTAAGTTGGATATCCATTAGTAAAAGAATCCTCAGAATCCAATCATTTATAAAAGGAACAAATATTAATAGGTGCATTTCTGTAGTAATCTGGTCAAATGGACTAATAAGGAAGTATGAGTATGGAAATATAAAAGAGTGGACAATTTCAATTGGACTGCAGATAGTTACAACTTCAAAAGAGTAAGAGTATGTTTAATTTACTTTTTAAAAGCAGTTTTTAATTTTTAAAATAAGAAATTCCAACAAAGAAGAAGGTTAACTAAATATGCTGCCTCATTTTTCTCTCCTCTCAAATATAAAAAGTTTTTTTTTTCTATCTTTCCTTTTTTTTTTTTTTTGTTAAATGAAATTGCACCCTCAATGTTACTAATTCAAGATACATTGATAGAGGGGGAATTCTCCTAATGTTTTGTATAATATCTTATACAGGAAAAATTATTAAGTAGCCTCTTATACAGGAAAATTTATTAGGGAGTCTAGGGCTACATTGTCCTAACCAGTTACATCTTGCTATATGTCAAAAAGATTTTATATATATATATTTGATTGATTGGGACCACCATAGTGTCAGATATAAAAAAATTTCTCCTTATTATATAAATAAAGAAAAAGGAAAATATAAAGCTACTATACTAAATAAAAGCAGTAAGTTTCGTATCTTTTGGAAAAAGAAAATATCTATAAATAAACTTACCATGTATAAGAAATTTAATAATATAAAAACTTTACTATTTAGTTCACTGAAGTCTCATTTCACAAAAAAACACAACGTTTCAGTCTTTTAATAAATATGAAGTTAAACGCAGAGAGTAATATTATAATTAAATATTCATTTACAAGTTCCAACATGTAAAAGAGTTAATAAAATATAACTCTGCATTGATCAAGTAACGGTAAAAGAAAGCCATAACACTAGTATTTGATTAAATTATCAAGCCTTTTTTCAAGATTGTATTAGTATAATCATAACTAAAATCTTTTAAGATTTTTATATATCTTACAAATACCTTTACTATAGTTTTTCTATTTTTTATATTAGGTTAAACAAAATTTATTTACCTTATTGTAAAAATTAGAGAAGTGAATGAGAAAGCAGTATAAAAACCTCAAAACATGATGGCCTAACATGCACCGCACAGAGTAAGGTTTGAAACTCTGATCGGAGCCCAATTCTCTTTCCTCTTGAGCCACCAGTTTTCAAATCATTCAGAAAAAGCAAAGAACTTCATCAACTCAATTTCCCGCTACCTTCATTCGTGTTTTTTCAGGTATCCGATTCACTCTTTGCTTCCTCTTAATTTCAATCAATGTGCGTTTAATTCTTCTGTGACTGGTTTCGTTTTTAATTCTTATAATCTGCAGTGGTATGTTGATTCCATCGTTCTATTTGGAAAAAAAAAATGAAGGGATTTTGGGTTTCGTTTAGGAGATTTTATTTTATTTTTTAATTTTTTTGTTTATTTGTAACTGAACCGACAATGTGATTTGTTACGATGGCAACGATGCGGAGTTGCAACCGCATGACTGTGTATAATTTAAAACCTTTAATTTTTCATGATTATAAGTCTTCAAAATTTTTATTTCTTTTATTGTTCATTCTTTCTGATGTTGTTTGTTCGTTTAAAGGGCTGCATGCTTGATATTTGTTTTGTGAAAGTCTTGAATCCTGAATTTAGTTTTTTTCCCCATTTATTGTTGATGGTGGATGTGTGTTAAATTTGTTCATTCGAAGAGCTGCATGGGCAATAATTTTGTTTTAAGAACTATAAAGAGCATGCTTAGTTTTCTTGCCCACACATTGAAGGAGGTGATTGAAAGATGAAACTACTGTTTGGTGTTCTTGTTCTCCTTTTGCGATTCCTCCCCCCCACGAGCAGCATGGGTTTGGTTTGGTTGTTCCCTGGATTGGGGTTGGGAAATGTTGCAAGGGAGTGACAATGTGAAAATGTATTGGAAATCTAATATCATGATATTATTATGCTTATTTCGGAAATTTGGTTCTTGAGTATGTACATTGAATTTGTAGTTATCTGATTGTTGTGGTAAAATGTTGGGAATTAATGGGATGAAATAAGCACTGGACAGAATTCCATTGTCCCGTTAATCTTATTTCAGTTGATTTGTTATGATTTTGTTAAGCCGTTATTGGTTTGTTTTTAATGTAGCATTGTCATTTTGGACGATTTATAGGTTTATTGGGCTTCTGTAATTGATGGAAGCATCTTTATTGTGAGCGGAATTGTTGGGTTCTGGGTGTATATATTAATTGTCAAAGTTATCTATCATGCTGGTGTATACTTCTAAGGAAGGAAGGAAATAGAGAAGAGTAATTAGCGGCCGTTTGCAGAAGCATACTAGCAAGCATGGAATGTAATAAAGATGAAGCTTTGAGGGCTAAAAGGCTTGCAGAGAAGATGCTTTCACAGAGGGACCTTGGGGGCGCAAGAATTCTTGCAATGAAGGCTCAAAAGTTATATCCCGATATTGATGGCCTTCGTCAGTTGCTGGCGACTATTGAGGTGTATATCTCTGCTGACAAAAGAGTAAATGGAGAGGTTGATTGGTACAAGATCCTTGGTGTGCAACCCTTGGCTGATGATGAAACAGTTCGAAGACATTACAGGCAGCTGGCTCTTATTTTGCACCCTGATAAAAATAAATCGGTAGGGGCAAATGGGGCATTTAACCTTATTTCACAGGCTTGGAGTTTATTATCTGATAAAGCCAGGAAAATCATCTATGACCAAAACTACAGTATATGGGGCATATATCAAGGAAATTCAGGTGGGAAACCTTCAATACCAGCTAGTCAGAATGGTTTATATAATATGTCCAATACTGCTAATTGGAAGGACAGAGATCATAGGAGTGCTATTCCTCTCAATTCTACTCCACTCAGTCCAGTGCCTCCTGTGACATTCAAACAGACATTTTGGACCATGTGCAGTTTCTGCAGGACAAAGTTTGAGTACTATACTGTTTATATCAACTGCAATCTTGTCTGTACCACCTGTCATAAGCCATTTTTTGCTTTTGAGGCTTTGCCCCCAACTGCATGCAGAAATGTTTCATCCATTTCAAGAATTTCTCAGATGGAGCAACACAACTTCACCTCTACTGGTTTAGGTAGGACACCAATTTCTGCTGTCAACTTGTCACGTGGGTCAGGTCCTTTCTCTATGCACAGTGGTATTACCAGTGTACCAATCTCAGCTTCTACTGCTGCTGAAGCTTCTGGTGCTTTTAGGATGTCATCTGAGAATTTGAAAAGAAGACACGAAGATTTGACACCTGTCATGAAGGAGGAGGTTCATTTTGGGAAAACTCATGCTGTTGAGAGAACTGGTGCTGGTTCAGCTTTTCAGTCCTCTTGTCTTGGTTCAAATTCTATTCTGAAAGGAGACAAGCCAAAGAAAAGAAGGCGCATTGATGAACGTAAAGTTGATAGCGATAGAAGAAATATGAAAGCTAATACAACATCTCAAAAAGAAGGAACAAACTTGACCAATGAATTTGGATCTCAGAAATACAGTTCTGATACAGGAAGGGTTAATGTTGCTGGAAGTTACAAGCGCAATGGTATTAGGGACGTATCACAGCTGCAAATGAGGACAATATTGATGGAAAAGGCTCAGAAGGAGATTCTTAAAAAGCTTGATGAATGGAAGGCTTCTTCAGTATCAAAGAATTTGTGCCAGTCAAAGAATACTGATACAGACATCAGAGAGAAGGACAGAGAAAATGCCACAAATGGTGTAAAACCTGGTACCCAGGAATTTGCCAATTCTGAAACCATCAGCGAAAAGTGTTTCTCTACTGATCCAGAGCCAGAGATGCCTGATTCTCTCTCAATGAATGTTCCAGATCCAGATTTCCATGATTTTGATGGAGACCGTATTGAAAATGCTTTTGGTGAGAACCAGGTGTGGGCTGTATATGATAATGAGGATGGCATGCCGCGCTACTATTGCTTAATCCACAATGTAATCTCAAAGGATCCTTTCCAAATGAGGATTAGCTGGCTGAACGCCAAAAGCAATGATGAATTGGCCCCAATAAAGTGGGTCAGTTCTGGCTTTCCTAAGACCTCTGGAGATTTCAGAATAGGAAAGCGAGGATTATATAGCACATTTAATTCCTTCTCGCACAGGGTTAAGTGGACAAAAGGTTCAAGAGGGGCTGTCCACATATATCCGAAGAAAGGTGATATATGGGCTCTGTATCGGAACTGGTCCACTGACTGGAATGAATTTACTGACGATGAAATCATACAGAAATATGACATGGTGGAGGTGCTTGAAGACTACAGTGAAGAACAAGGTGTGAATGTTGCCCCACTTGTCAAGGTTGCAGGTTTCAAGACAGTGTTCCGCCATAATGCCGATCCAAGAAAAATCAAGAATATTTCAAGGGAAGAGATGTTTCGTTTCTCACACCAGGTTCCTTCATACTTGCTTACAGGTGAAGAGGATCAGAATGCTCCAAAAGGTTGCTTGGAGCTTGATCCTGCTGCTACGCCTATGGAACTTCTTCAGGTGTTCACTGAAGATGCACAGCCAGAAATGGTAATGACAACTGAAAAATCTTTGGAAGATGAATTGAGGCACAAAGAGAATTCGAGGGAGGATGGTTTGGTTGAGAGTTCCCAGACAACCAAGGAAAAAAATTCTGATGCAGCACTGAGAGAGAAGAGAAGTAGGCCCGAGATTTTGTTTGTATATAAGCGGAAACGTTTTAGGAAAAACAAAGAGAGCAATGAAGACTAGTGACTCTTAAGAAATTGTGTGTTCCATTTAGCCAGAGATAGCAGATTTGAATAGTCAACAACTCCATAGCTTACAGTCACCAATTTAAACATAAATTAGAACATCTTCTGTTGTTTTTGCTGTATATTGGCGGGGCTACAGTTTTGCATTTAGTGTTGGTGTTGCCCTCAAGAATGATTTCGGCTTGTATCTATAAGACTGTCTGAAATGCCAATGTACGCCAGTTACTAGTTTCTGCAAGGCAAAAATAAAATTCAGCATCATTCAGCTCCTTCGACTGGAAACATTAATCTTTATTTTCTAGTTCTTTTTTCTTCATCCTGTAATTAACCATAGCTATAGAGCTGGTCAAATTGTACATTATAGCTGCAACTTTTTGCTTGCACCTTATGAATCAAAGTATTAATTTTGCTATTTCCTTCGTTGTCCCCCTCATGAATTCAGTTCCTCCCACAAGTTAGAACAAGTCTTGAACCTTTCCATTATTAGGAAGTTGACACCTCCGCTTAACACTAGCCCGTTAGGAAGCAGTTCTTAAGCTGACTTCTTTCCAGAATAATGCCTCATAAAATCATGACAGAAGAATAATCTTATTTGTAAAGAGATTGAGATATGGAGCTTTTTAGTTGAATAATACATGGTTAAAGTACTCGCCAGTCATCACATGGTTAAATTATTCTATAAATCTTACACTGAATGTTTAAACAAATGTCTATATTTCAAAATCTTTCAAATAAATTCTTCTTTAATGGTAATTAATTTTTGTTAAATTAAGATAATATTTAACAAATTTAATAGATTATAGACTTGTAAAACTATGTACCTACAACTGTTATATTTCAAAATTTCATATAGCTGGAAGTAGTTTTTGTTTTTAAACAGAGTTTAACATTTTTTTAACAATTTTTTTAATAAAAAAAAGTATTTATCTTCATGTTATAAATAAAAAACGTAAAAAAAAAAGTGAAAATAAACATAAATAAGAATGTTAAAATGACTAATCAGCTTGAGAAAGGATAAGATAAGAAATGATAGTATATAAAAAAAATTAAAATAGAACTTACAATAAAAGAGATGATTGAAAATAATTTAAAGTTAGTTTAGTCACGTGTAAAAAAAAAATCTTTAAAGAACCTGTAAAGAAAGTAAATTAAATAATTTTTAGTCCGATAAAAAGGAGTCAAGAAATACTTAAAAGAATCTTAGACAAAATTATTAAAAAAAATATTTTAATTAACTATATTTTTAAAAATTTAATTTTTGACCTAACTCAATAATATTTTGTCCATAATTAACTTCATCTAATAAAATAAAACTTAGTTGTTGTTGTATATTTACTACATCACTTATTTTATTTTCTTTTTCTCTTTCTTTTCTTTTAGCTTCTCTAATTTATAAAATAAATAGTTGTACAATTTTACTATATAATTAAAACTTTTTTAAATAATTCTTTTAATTTTAGTGTGATAAGTTAATAGAGTTTCAATGGTTATCAATAAGTTAATAGATAAGTTAATAATAACCGATCGTAACCTTAGTCTTCAAGATTTTCTTTTTCATTTTAATGTAAATATAGTACTTCTACTGAGCTTTCAGTCATTTTATTTGTTAAGACCATATGTTTATTTTTAAAAAAAAGTTAGATTAAGGGAGAATGTTGCTATACTTCAACAGAATATATTAAAAATTTGTGGTATTTATAAAAATAAAAAAGTAAAAAAATAACAGAAAGACTATATGGAAAATAAAGACATTTGAAAAAAATGAAATTATAACATTTAAAATGAGAAATTAAATAAAAAGTATGATATTTTGGTGAATATAATATAATTTAACATTTTTATGTCATATATTTTACAATATGAATTGTAAATAGGCTTAAAAAAAGTATAATATTAAAAATATATTTGTATGACTATGGATTACAAAATGGATTTTTTTTAAGTGAGTATATCATGACAAAGTACACTACATGCACAAAGTGACAAATGTCAACTTGGATATCACATGCAAGAGTAAAGAATCATTCAGATCTAGCCAAATAGTTCAAACGAAACCGCTTAATATATATAAAATAAATAAATAAAATTATTTTTATTATTTATTTACTATATAATTTATTAAAATATATTAAAGGATGTTTTATTAATAAAATTATATTTTTCACATTTTAAAATAAAATTTTAAGTTATCAAATTAAAATTTTAATATTAAAAATATAAAAAAGTATATTATATAAAAATTAATTTTACATAAATAAAATTTGAAAAATAATAAAATATGAATAATGAATTATTTTGAATTACTAATATTTAAAAATACTTTGCAGCCGCTGACCTTAGAAAAGGAGAATTGAATTTTAGAGCTTCTAAAAATAAAAAATATTTAATTGTGGAAACAAATAGTATACAAATAAAATAGAGTGTGGAGGTTGGCGTGAGTTGAATCCCATAGCCATAATGCCATAATCCCATACCTTACCTTATCCCACCACATAATTGAATTTCCAATCAATTGGAGGCTTACCCAAAGGGAAACAGAAACACACACTTTCTCTCTCTCACTCACACCCTCAGATCAAAATCAAATAGAATCGTTGGATCATCGATCTTGGGGGAGTGGTGGTGGGAATGGACAGCAACCAGCAAGGAACCCAACCCCAAACGCAGAACCAAACACAAGGGGGAGGGTATCAGGGAGGTGCAGGAACACCAGGAACCGGTGCACCCTCATTTCAACACCTTCTGCACCAGCAACAGCAACAGCTTCAGATGTTCTGGTCCTACCAACGCCAAGAGATCGACCACGTCAACGACTTCAAGAACCACCAACTCCCTCTCGCACGCATCAAGAAGATCATGAAAGCCGACGAAGACGTTCGCATGATCTCAGCCGAAGCTCCAATCCTCTTCGCCAAGGCTTGCGAACTCTTCATCCTCGAACTCACCATCCGCTCCTGGCTCCACGCCGAAGAGAATAAACGGCGAACCCTTCAGAAAAACGACATCGCCGCCGCCATCACTCGCACCGACATCTTCGACTTCCTCGTCGACATCGTCCCTCGCGATGACATCAAAGACGACGCCGCACTCGTCGCCGCCACCGCCAGCGGCGTTCCTTACTATTACCCTCCCATTGGCCAGCCCGCCGGCATCATGATTGGCCGTCCCGCCGTCGATCCCGCCACCGGAGTTTATGTTCAGCCCCCGTCTCAGGCGTGGCAATCCGTCTGGCAGTCCGCTGCCGAGGACGCCTCCTACGCCACCGGCGGAAGTGGTGCTCAGGGTAACCTCGACGGCCAGAGGTAACTTTGAGGTTTCCTCAAATACCTAATGTAATGAAATGATTTCGCCGTCATTTATAGCCTTTTTTATTCAAACTACCGTTAGACTCTTGAAATTTAATGTGCATGAGAATTTTATGCTGTTATTGAGTATCTATTTGGATATGATATCTGAAACTAGGAAGTGTTTGAATTTAGGGAAAGCTTGGAATCGTTCAACTAAGAAGAAATATCGGTGCTTTTTTAAAAAGAAACTTTTGAAAATATAGATTTTGTATGCAGATGGACCTCTCTCGTTCCCTCTAGGGAAGAAAACTATGATTAAATGAACTTAGACATACTTGACGAGCTCAGATTTCTAGCATTGTAAAGGTTTGCTTTTGTTACCTCTTTAGGGTTTTTGAATGTGTCCAAGTTGGTGTTGTAATATGGTAATAGTCTGATAGAGAGTAGGATTATTCCATATAATTATTAAGTCCAACCTGACCCAATTTATTTATCAGACTTGCAACCGGGTCAGTGTTTTGCTAATCTGAACTGTTTAATTTCACTCAGGCCTTTTTCTTTTGGTAAATCAATTTTGCTATTTAAGAGTTGAGACTTGAGAGAGACACTGCCACATAAAGTCTTTTAGAGCCCAAAGTAAGGACTGGGGATAATGTTACGTTGTTGGGGATAGCTGGGGAGAGAGCCGGGGGGGGAGGGTGGGAGGTTGCTTATATAAAGTGGGGCCAAAATAGTTCCATTTTTAGAGCAGGAAATGAAGACCATGTCCTCCATATGATGATTGGTTTAAGATATCTTCTAAGTTGAATATTTAATCAATATGTGATTTACTGACAGCCTATAAGGAAACAAATTTTGATATTTTTCAATCATGTATTCTTTCTATATGTATATTTAATGTTTGCTTGATTATTGAATTTTAGAACTGGTTTCCTCTTTGTTGACCTATTGACCCAATGCCACAATTAAATTGATATCTGGTAACCATGGTTCATATGAAGATTGTTTGGTTTGTCAACAGATATTTAGTATTCCGATTCAGAAAATTAGAGATGGTGCATGATGCACTTTGTTTTGTTGTAATATTTTGTGGCCGTAATGTTGCTTGATTGAATCCAATCTGGTGGCATGAGGTGTCATTCATTTTAATGTGCTTTGCTGTGACAAACTGTTGTAGTTGGAGGTCCTAGAGTCATTAACTAGTTTACTGAATTCCCCAGGCTGTTGTGATACTATTCTTGTTGCATGTTGGTATGGTTGATTAGACGAAGGTACAGTCAGGCCCCACAAATTGTCAAAATTTAGCAAGCATATAAATCAGGAATTTGTCATTCCTTTCTGCCCTTGAACTCAAGGAACTGGATGGACTCAAATTGTTAATTTCTTCTTCTGGGGAGGGGGGAGCGGGGGTCAAATTTTTTTAACAGATAAGCTTTTGCTGGGGTTATTGATGGGTTTGTTTTTTGTTTTCTGAGTACTAAATCATATCAGTTAACATTTCTACCCGCCTAATCTTGTAAATATTGGCTTCAACTTAAATCAAGTTGCTATGCTAATGTGTCATTAATTTCCTTCCTTTAATCCCATTTGTCTGATGCAACACTAGATTATGTCCTTTGTGAAATCTCGGCCATTACTACTTTCAGTTCAGGATATTTTATTCCTAATTAGCACGTGATATGAGAATTTGTGAAGTTTCAAATTGTATGAACAGAAAGGCTGTAGGCTGTAGCTCATTGGTAACTCTCTGTTGTTTTAGGGCTTAATTGATGGATTTGTTTTTCCTATATAAATCATACCAATTAGCATTTCTACCTGCTTAATATTGCAAATATGGCTTCAACTTAAATCAAGTTGCTATCTTAATGTTTCTTTAGTTACCTTCCTTTATTGCCATCCATCTGAAGTATACTAGCTTATGTCCTTTGTGACATTTGGATATTTGATTACTCATTAGCACATGTAATAAACTAAGCCTTTTTCCATTAGATTGGTAGGTTGGCCGGCTCCATGAATCATATGATACCATAAAATTGAACGTGGATCTTTTACAGTTGGAGAGAGAATAGAATATAGGCATCTATCCTTTATTTTATTTTTAAAATTTAACAAAATTAATAAAATATAAGAAAAAAACGTTGAGCCATAAGATGGTGACTGCAGGAATGATTGCATGAATTCCGACTGCAGGAATCACTGCATGAATTCTGACGGCAAATGATCGGGTCCCATAAATTTTTGTCATGTATTAAGTGCAAACATAGACACACCTTTAGATCTCTTTATTTCTATCATTAGCACATGCAAATGTGAAAATTTAAATACAACCTTCAAAAACTATAAACTGTTGCGCTGTATGAGAGTTATAAGCTAACAGTTGACCCAAATACACATTTACTTCAGCACATACAGGTGATGTTATTGGATATGATTCATATCCAACATGGAGATATGAATACTAAAATATACGAGACATATAAGATATGGGATATATATATATATATAGGAAATTTATAAAATCATAATAAGTGTATGATGTCTGCAAGTCCAAGCTAATAGCATATTTCTTGAACATTACAATAAACAAGATAGAAATTATAAATCAATGTCTATTCCCTGGTCCCTGCAAACATGAATGGTATTAATATCATGCTCACTTCAAGCATCATTCTTAAGGTGGACAGCTTCCATATCTTTTTCATCAGAAGACAATGCTTCTGTCTTCACGCTAATGTCTTATATCTGGCCATGTCAAATTTTAATAACTTTTATTTTTCAAAAAGGCTTAGATACTAAGTATGTATTGGTGAAGTATCCTAAAAAGCATCGGTATCAGATACATATGAGACACCAACTGGTGAAACAAATGCAAGTATCGTCCTTCATACTGAACTGCAGTTTGAAATGTGAATTTATAATTATAATAAGTGCAGGTAGCTACTTATCCTATTCCCTTCTGATTTTTTATTTTTATTTTTTTTTGTCTACATAGTTGTGTTTGTTTATCATGCACACTAATCTCTGGAAATGGTTCTGATGTCTCCTGCGGTTTCCTTTTCGTTCTTTGCAGCTGAGTGACAATAATGCAGATGATGAACTGTCAGGAGTTTTAAAGATGCTGGACTTCTGCAATATTGCTTGGAATTTTGATTGCTTGCAATTTAGAAATGGTTTTGTTAACTAAATTTTTACGGGATGACAGTACGAACCTGTTAACTTGATGGACAACAGTATGATTTGACTACTTATGTACAAAAATTTGAAACTGATCAATGATCCTTCTGTGTGAAACATGTTTGATCATCAGCTAATAGACTGTTTATTTCCTCATGAGCGGATACCACTCGTATACTTGGCTATGTGCTTCGCTCAGTCTTTGATATCCGGTGTCTGATATCTGTAGCAGTTTTTTATTCTATCTGTTATGAGTAAATGTTTTTATTTTCCATTTTTATCTGTAATTACAATTTTCACCATACCAGTTTTCTTGAATTAAATGCTGCTGATTAAGAACTTATAAATTGAATTGATAAAGAAATATACAGCACTATTTTTCTCATCGAAAGATTTATAACTCAATTTGTTTTGTTGACTAGATCGTTTCCAATGGTCAATAAAAATGCGAATGTTTCGCTATTATTAATTCTATAAGATTTTGCTTGTTTCAATCATTTTTCGGAGGGCAAGGAGAGTATGATATTAGTTAACAAATCTAATAGACAGCTGAAATTATCATTTTTCCAAAGAAACTAAAATTATCGTATTTAACAAATTATGTATCAGTGTGTCACATCATTCGTTAAAAATTGTCCAATTACCCGCTCAAGGCGCTTGCAGCCCAATAAGACTAAGTGGATGAATTTGTTAGAAGTTGAGTAGGATTATTGGTAAAGATATGAACAATAGATAAGACAGTTCGAACACAAAATAGATAAGATGAATTTGTTTACTTCTGTTGATGGATGGTCCTCAAAATATGTTAAGCGACTATTCACAGTCACTTCATTTTAACAATTCTTTTAAAATCAAACCAGCGAATCATAAACTTGTGATAGCACATTTAATAGTTCATGAGTTGAACTGGCAATAATATATTTATAATATGAAAAGGAATTAATTTATATTGGTGTGAGCTAATAATATCTTATCCAAAAATACTCTCATTTCATTCTAAACGGACAAATGTTACGAGTTTAAAGCATTTAATTTTATTCCAATAAGGGTAATTATTCAATTGAAAGAAGGTTTGAATTGCAGTATTTGTGGTTTAGTTACTATTCAATTTGAGATTTATTATTGGTGCAATGAGAATTTTGTAAGCGATTATTGAGTCACCCTCATAATGCCAGAGCTTCAATTATTGTTGTACAATACATTGTGGAATGTGAATTTAGAGTCATTTCAAAAACTCGTCATTTAGAACTAACATAACAGTTTTAAATCACTATTAAAGTTAGACACACGATAGACTCTTATCTTAATTAAAATAACATTTTAAAATAAAAATTAAAATAATTTGTTTATCTTCATAAAAATTATAACTTTTTGAATTAGTCCCTAAATAAATTTTATTAAGATTTAATTTTTAATAAATTAAGTGAACATGGAATTACTTCATGTTGTTAATTTTTATTTATTAAGTGTTTGGTTGAATAACAAAATTTTAACTCAATATTTTACACATCAAACACAAAATTCTTTTATCTCTATTTTAAAATTATAAAATTAATATATTTAACTACTATTTGTATACTTCATTCTTTTCTTTCTTTTCGATTATAATATATATTGTATAATTATCCTACATATAAATATAATTTTTATAATATTAATATAAAATTATAATATTGAAATTACTAAATAATATTATAAGTTATTTATTTACAATATGATAAAAAATATTTGATATAATATAATAAATTATTTCATCTAATCAATAATAAAATAATATTTTATGATATATTACTTTAGTATAATAAAAATAATATTATAAATTATGTATATCTAATATAATAATTTTAACCACTATTTTTTAAATATTTTTTAATTATAATATTATTCAATAACTATACATAAAATTAAAAATACAAGGGCGTGGATCCACTTATTATAAGAGAGCATGTCTTCGTAACTTATTCCATTTAATAATTGACTATGGTTAGTAAATTGTTAATCAAATTATTTAATTATGTAATATTATTTTAATTGTTATACATGTAATTTATTTTAATATTTTAATATTACTAAATATTTTATTTATAGTTAATATTTATTTGTGTTTTAAAGAATACAATATCCATTAAAATAATTTATTAATAAAATATTAGTTGATGTTAACATGTATAATTTTCAAGTTAACAATTAGACTAATAAAATTTAACGTCTATAAAAATTTTACAAAATCACTCAATTATTATTTTATTATAATACATGTATATAAATTTATAACAGGTACTATATATTAATTATTAATGTTGAATAGATACCATTTTTTAAGAGTTTTTTTTTTTGTGCATTATCGGCATAAAGATTTATACATTGTTAATTAATTAGAATATGCCGTTGATATGATTTTTATATTAATTAATACAAAAATTAATTATTCTTGTTAATATGACAATTTATGATTAAAGAATAGTGTAAAAAAATTGAATCTTCAGCTATGATGAATTTTGAAAAGGATTAAGTTATTTTTCCTTTTTTAAGGAGAGAACATTTTTATATGAAAATTTATTTTTAAAATATTTTAATTTATAATAAAATATGTATTTTCTGTGACAAAAGTGAATTAATTTAATATATAGTATTATAAATTTGTTTATAAATATAATTGAAAATATACATGTTAACATTTTAAAATAATGTTTAATTTGTTGTATATATATTAGTTTAAATATTTAATAGTTTTTCACAATAACTATGGTGGAACAGCCCAAAATTAATCATTCTAGGAAATTCAATTTTAAAGGAAAAGGGACCAAATTAGGAGGGGCAATTGCTAACTCTCTATTCTCCCAAATCAAACAGAACAGCTTGTGTGAATGAGCTAATTAAATTCAAAGAGATGAGCAATGTGAAACTCACTCTTGACTCTTGGAAATGGAAGTTCTGGTTAGTTTGAGCTTAACTTACTATTCTTACTTTCTATTTATTTAATTTTAGCTTTATTTTTATTTTTTTAAAATTTGATTTAGTTTTTTTTAATTATATTTTCATGTTAACATTTTCTTGTAACTTTTCTTCACCTTTCAAATTTATTGATTCGAAGAATTTTGATATCTGCTATAAATATGAGTTAATAATAAAAATGATTAACCATAAAAATTATAGATGTATGAGATGTTGGGATCAAAGAGATTGTTAAGCATTCATAATGCAGAGAACAAAAAGAGTAAAAATAAGTAGTAAATTATAAATGATTTTAAACAATTAAAGAGAGTTTTAGGATTATATAAATTTTTGAACAATAATTTAATAATAAAAAGCATAAAAATATAAAAAAAAAATCTATATTAATAGCAAAAAAGAAAAATTTATGTTCAAAATATTATTTTAAAAACTTAATTTAAGTTAAAATATGAAATAAAAAAGTTAAAGGATTATTTTACTAAAAAAATTAGAAGACTAGATTGAATGAAAAAAACGAAGTGGAGTAAATAAAAATAAAATTTAGAGGACTAAATTAAATAAAAAAATTTACAAAAATAAATAAAAAAAACTTTACTTAAATTTGGAGAAGACAAAATATTTTAAGGTATAATTTTTATGTTCAAGAAATAAGAAAATGAAAAAAATTTATATGTAATTTTTAAAAAATATATTTTTATTAATTAAAATTAATTTTTTATTTTGATAAAAAAATTAATATTTAATATTGTCATGGATCAGCAAAGTAACACAAAATTTTATTTAACTAATAGTAATGAAAAGACTATAAAACTATAAGATAAATTTTGTTTATATAAAATAAGCAAATTTTACTAATACGTTATTTGATTTTTTTTTTTACAAAAATAAATTATTAATTTATCAAAAATAAATATATAACAAAATAAATATAAATTAATTTTATGCATATAAGATAAATTAAATAACAGTAATATAAAAGATTCTATCAAGCAACACACTCTCTTAGAAAATATGTAGTAGGACACTCTTTAATTTAAAAAAAAAAGTTAAAATTTTTAATTTAAAAATTTATTTATTTTAAAAATTAATTTATTTAATATTTATATTAAATATTTTACATAAAATTATTTAATATATTATTATAAATTTTATGAGTGTTAAATAAATTATTCTATTAGATATAATAAAAAAATAAACTCAAATTTAATTAATTTAATTAATTATTTTTTTTAAATTTTAAATTAAATTTGATAAGGATAGCACAAAAATAGTGTATTACTCGGTTTTCCAACCCAGTCAAAGTTTTTCTCTTTATATATAAGGTTAGTGCCTCTGCTCACCAAGCACCATGGCAATCATTGCTTGCACACTCTCCATCTCCCCTTCCTCCTCTTCATACTCCAATAATTTGCCAAAGCACACCATCAAACCCACCTTCCATCTTCTCAACAAACACACACTTCCTCAACCCCTTCAAATCTCGAGCACCCTCTCTAGCTCCACTTTCGAACCAGCCAAACCTTCCACCACCCCAACAACAACACAACCTTTCCTTCCCTCAATCAAAACCGACAACCTCAAAAAAGGTGCTGACATACTCGTTGAGGCTCTCGAACGCCACGGTGTCACCGATGTCTTTGCCTACCCAGGTGGTTGTTCCATAGATATCCACCAAGCTCTCAAGCGCTCCAACATCATAAGAACCATTCTCCCACGCCATGAACAAGGTGGGGTGTTTGCAGCTGAAGGTTATGCACGTTCCACTGCCCTTCCTGGAGTGTGTGTCACCACCTCTGGACCCGGTGCCACCAACCTTGTCACTGGACTCGCCAATGCTAAGATGGATAGTGTGCCTCTTATAGCAATCACGGGTCAAGTCCAACGAAGAATGATTGGCACTGATTCATTTCAAGAGACCCCTATTGTTGAGATGTCAAAATCTATTACCAAGCATAATTATCTTGTTTTGGATGCTAATGATATTCCTAAGGTCGTTAGCGAGGCCTTCTTCGTGGCCACTTCTGGACGGCCCGGCCCAGTTCTCATCGACGTCCCCAAAGACATCCAACAACAGCTTGCTGTTCCTAACTGGGACCAGCCCATTAAGCTCACCGGCTATATTTCCAGGCTGCCCAAGGTTCCCAGCGAGGCCCAATTGGATCAGATTCTGAGGTTAATAATGGAGGCCAAGAAACCGGTTTTGTACGTTGGGGGTGGTTGTTTGAACTCGAGCGTTGAGTTGAGGAGGTTTGTGGAACTCACTGGGATCCCTGTTGCGAGTACGTTGATGGGTCTTGGGGTTTACCCTATTGGAGATGAACATTCCCTTCAAATGTTGGGTATGCATGGCACTGTCTTTGCTAACTATGCTGTTGATAACAGTGATTTGTTGCTTGCCTTTGGGGTAAGGTTTGATGACCGCGTCACTGGGAAACTAGAGGCTTTTGCCAGCAGGGCTAAGATTGTTCACATTGATATTGATTCTGCTGAGATTGGGAAGAATAAGCTGCCACACGTGTCGGTTTGTGCGGATTTGAAAATGGCTTTGGAGGGTATCAATAGGATTTTGGAGAGTAAGGGTGTGAAGGGTAAGCTTGACCTTGAAGCTTGGAGAGAGGAGATTAGTGTGCAGAAACGAAAGTTTCCATTGAGTTATAAGACGTTTGAGGATGGTGTTATTTGTCCTCAGTATGCAATTGAGGTTCTTGATGAGTTGACAAATGGAGATGCTATTATTAGTACTGGGGTTGGACAGCATCAAATGTGGGCTGCACAGTTTTACAAGTACAAGAGGCCTAGGCAGTGGTTAACATCAGGGGGTCTTGGTGCTATGGGGTTTGGATTGCCTGCTGCTATTGGTGCTGCTGTTGCTAACCCTGATGCAATTGTGGTTGATATTGATGGATATGGTAGTTTCATTATGAATGTTCAGGAGTTGGCAACTATTAGAGTGGAGAATCTCCCTGTAAAGATATTGTTGCTGAATAATCAGCATTTGGGTATGGTGGTTCAGTGGGAGGATCGGTTCTATAAGTCCAATAGAGCTCACACTTATCTGGGAGACCCTTCTAGGGAGACAGAGATATTCCCAAACATGCTTAAGTTTGCTGATGCTTGTGGGATACCTGCTGAACGTGTGACCCACAAAGGAGACTTAAGAGCAGCAATACAGAAAATGTTGGACACCCCTGGCCCTTACCTTCTTGACGCCATTGTACCCCATCAGGAGCATGTCTTGCCAATGATTCCAAGTAATGGATGTTTCAAAGATGTCATAACTCAGGAAAATGACAAAAGGAGTCGTTGATTCCTTTGTCAATGATTCGCGGTTTATTCTATACTAGAAAAATGTTCATTTTACTATCACCCTTTTCAAGACACGGATTATACTATTTGTATAATATTTTTTATAATTTATTTAAATGTATTCTCAGCAGTATCTGTCAAGAAAATTGCTTTTTCAAAGGGTTAAAATAATTAAAATAAAACTTTGACAGGGGCTAGTGAAAAATTATTTAGGCTCTTTCTTTTTTTATACGGAAAAAATATCAAAATATGATATTTTGAAAAAAATTATGAAAATTTGGAAACTATTGAAAAATTGTTAGATGTACTTTTAAAATTTTTATTATTTTTTGAAAAATCATTATTAAAGAGTTTTAATTTTTTATAATTTTTTAATATTTTTTAAAATATTATATTTTTATAATTTTTCAAAAATATCATATTTTATTATATATAATTTATAAATCGCATATATAAAAAATATTCAAAATTATTACCCCGTTTACCAATTGTCGCTCAAAAGGGAGAAAAATATAAAGATCCAGAGTTTGAGATACCGTGAAAGTAACGGAGGAACCACTCCCCTCAAAGTGAGAATCATTTGGTTCCCCAACCTAGTATATTTTCAAAAGTATAGAAAAAATAAAATAAAAAGGTTATAAACAAATAATGCATTAAGTGAAAAAAGTGTTTTTTTTATATATATAATAAAGTCATGCGCCATAAAAATAAAGTGAATTGGATTTGACACTATAATAAGACATCACTGTCGTCTCCACTTGAGATGGAGATACTTAATTTTCAGAAAAAATTATTATATTAATTTAAATTGAATAATTATATATTTAAATTTTTAATATTTTAAATTATTATTAATTTATAATTTTATAAAAATATTAATTTTAATTTAATTTTTAATATTATTTATGTTAAATTTTGTTTGAAAGTTTAAAGTGAGACAAAAAAAAGTATTTAAGAGGTAAAGAAAAATAAGAGAAGAGAAGAAGAAAAAAAATTAATTTGAGGAATCTGAAAACATGAATTTAAGAGATTTTATAATTTTTTAAAAATTCTTATTTAATAGTTATTGTCAAAGTCTTTTCTTTCTTTTCTTATTTTTTAAGAAATTAATTCTTAAAAGAAGTTTTAGAACGAGCCCTTATACATTTAATTAATACTTTTAAAAATAGTCGTTTGCTTTTTAAATAAAAATTATTGATAACATTTTTTATTTTTATTTTAAAAATAGTTTCTAAAAGCTATTGTTTTAAAAGAAAAACATAACGATTCAAATAATTCACAAACGAATAATAGTTTATTAGATAATTGACAGATAAATTTTTCTTCAAAAAATAAAGTTCTAAGAAAATTATAGCAATGCATTCTATTAGATAAGAAAGTTTAATTCTTTTTTGAACACTTTATAAAACAATGTTACTAATCCTGATAATTATTGTTTAATAAAAAATTAAATTAAAATAAATAAAATTTTAGTTAAGAGTAAAATAAAAAGTCAACAAAACTAAATGAATTATCTATAATGTCAGTCGTAAGAAAGTTTATTGCAAAACCTGACTATATTATTATAAAGATCGTGAAAACTTCAAATAATAAAATTATATATATATATATATAAAATATGATTAATATATTTAACTGAAACTGAGTTAAAATAAAAATAAATAAATAATTATTATAAATTATTATATAAGTGAATGTTAATATTTATAATTCTTTATATTTTTTATAATTTATGATATTATAATTTTTTTATTTAATTCTTAATAATTAGTCGATTTAAATTTTAATTTATACTCAGTCTTAACTAAAAATTTAATTTCTTACAAAATAGTATTGTTTATATTATAAAATTAAATTATATATATATATATATTATATAAAATCTTAGTTTTCATTTTAATTATAAATTTAAGTTATAAAAATATATCTTTACTTTATTATGAATGAGACTTTTATATCTGCAAAGTTTTAAAATTTGTTGACCTTTTAACAGTTTGAATTCATACATTTGTACAATTCTTCAAAGGTATTCAAAATCTTATGGACTTCATCAAGTTTATTTTAAAATAATATATATTATTAAAAAAATTATTTTAATTATAGTAAGAATTTTATATTTAGTTCTTGAAATATTAAGAAGTTAAAATTTAGTTTCTATAATTAACTCCTTTTTGTTAAATGTTGAATTGGCTAATAGAAAGTCAACTCAACACTTAAATGTGGCATATTACGTCATTTAATTTTATAATATTTTATTTAAAATTAATATTTATAAATAAATTTTTTAACACATTTTTAATAATTGCCGAAAAATTCCTTTCTCTTTCTCTTCTCCCCTCCCACCACACCTCTACCTGCACCACCTTCTCCTTTTCTCTTTCTCCTTCCCTACACCCCACCACCTCTTCCCCCTCCCCCTCCTCACACCCCTCCCTTTTCCCACATTCCAACTTGCATCACCTTTTCACCCTTCCTTTCCCCACACCACACCACCCCTTCCCTCCCCCACAACTCACTCCCAACTCCTTTCCTTTCTCCTTCTTCACATTAAGGAGAAAAATTTAGTTGAAATAAGTGATATAGATAAAGTTTTTGAATTGCATGTCATGATATGTCCTTATTTTAGTGTTTGAGTAATTGTAATAGATCATGGTAACAAGAGATGGTTAGCTTATATTGTTGAAAATGTTAGAATGTTGAGAGAAAATAAAGGGTTTGTTTGTCAGTGCAGGGGCTATGTGGGGAGGGGCTTTAGGTAGAGGGAGAAGGAGGGGAATGAGTTGGGGTGGGGGTAAGGTAATGGGAAAGAGGAAGGGAAAAGGGAAGAATTTCTTTTACAAATATTAAAAATATGTTTAAAGATTTATTTACAAATATTAATTTTAAATAATAAAATAATATAAAATTAAATGATGTGGCATGTTACCTGAGATTGCTTAGAATATTTCTAATGAAAACTTTTTAAAAATATTTCTTTTTGTATTGAAATATATGTTTTTTAGTCTCTATACGGTCACGTCAATATTAAGCAACTCACTCAAATTTACTCCAATGGTAAGAAACTCCAAAAAATTCACTCTAATGATAAGAAATCCTAAGAGTTGGGTGCAGCAGACGAAGGTGCCACCATGGAGATGAGATCACACAGAGAATAAACTGTTCCTTATATTAGAAACGCATTTTCTGTTGAAGAAACCGCAAATGCCATGTTAGATTGCTCCAATGGTGAAGAAATGCAATGATCTGCATCTCATTTTAAGAGACCGTCCACAAAATGGCTACTGGAGATATCCTTAGCTAACTCTCTGTCAACCAGCTTAGCATCTAATGGAAGGAAGTTGATGGTAGAAACTAAATCATAATTTCTTAACATTTCAAGGACTAAATCCTAATAAAAAGTTTTATAAGAATTTATCACAAAATGTACTATATTTATAGCGAACAAAAACATAATTAAGCCTTTTCATAATTAAGACTTTCACATCCACTCTCACAATCTCAATTCATTTTAAAAATCAGCTTTTGTATTAATAATTTGTTCAATATCATTTTAGATCTTCTTCATATCCTCTTTGTATATGGATTTCACTTGCTTCACATAATTTCTACAAATTTCACTTAAGCCATATTTTCCTCATTTAAGCAAAAATTACTGGGGAAAAAAGAGCTCACTAAATAAATATTGTTTAAGTGATCATTAATTCTCTTAAATAACACATGATATTTTAATATTCGCTTAAGCAAATAAAGTCTGACTTAAATGAAAATTGTGTATCATATTTTCACTTAAGCCAAATTATTATGGCTTAATCGAAATTAACTTGACTTAAGTTAAAAATAATTGCTTAAACAAATATTGACGTGGTATAAAAATTATAGAAAATGATTTTCTTACGTTTTTTAGTATTCAACTACATCTCTTTAGTCATCTTTATTTCAATTTAGCCAAGTTGTTTATTTCTATAATAATTGGGATAAATATATGATGTTTACAAATTTAATTAATTCTATTTATAAATTATACAATTCAAAGTATGATAATGCAAAGAGTTATTAGATTTGGAAGACATGGCATGTCAATAGGAGTAGAAAATAAAGAAAAACTGAACAAAATTTCTATAACACTATTTCATTACTTGATTTTATTTGATTTCTTATCTTGAATATTTATTTCAAACTTTTATTACTTAAATTTGAACTAATTTAAAAAATAAAGATAAAAAAGAAGTGAATTAAAAAAAATATAGTTGAGTTTTATGTGAATGAAAAAAATTTATTTTTATACCTATTATAATTATATTTTAGAAAATATTTATTTAAAAAAATACTTTTAAAAAATTTATTTTAAATTCTAATATATAAAAAAAATTAATCTACAAAATTTATTCTAAATTAAATTATAAATATTATAACTTTTAAAACTTTCGCTATAACAGTTTTATTTTTTTATCCCAACAGTTATTTTGAAAAGAAGTTAAGAAAAAGAAAAAACACCGTTGCTGGCATACACACAGAGTCACAAATCAGTGCCCCAATCTATAATTTTTTTTTTTAACAATCCACAGTGAATTTCACATGACATCTGAGATTAGACATGTCTCGCAAATGGACAACCATTTGATAAGTTGAGTAGGGAGCACAAATCAAAGTGCCACCGTGTAGCCTAAGCCTCCTCCAATTATTGCCCCTTATGCATCCCTATCATCTTTTTATTAATCCCAACTAAGAATTTCATCCTAAGAGCACGACCACTCGTGATCATCTCAGTCAATATCAACAACGTCAAGTAGCTACGAATACATACATAGCTAATAATAATGCCTATGACAATTGTAATCAAAGCTGATATTGCCATTATATTCTTGTGATGAGTTTCATTAACAACGATAATTTTTTTAATTTTATTTGGCAGAAGTTATGGCTGTCATTATAATTTGTTTCTTTTTCTCCGATCCCATGATTTTATTTTTCTTCAGAAATTAGGTGCTTTATGATATATCG